TGTTTCGGGGCGGGTTTTTCCGTGGAATTTTCCTTCAGAGTAATTCCAGGGTTTTTTCCTTGCCCCACAGGTCTTCGGGCCTGGGTAAATGCGAAACAGTGTTAGGGCTATAGGTAGGGATTAGCGGACCCGATGCCAGGCGTCGGGCAGGGATCGCCGGCCTTACCGACGAGGAGTGGCCCCTGAAACATGGGACTTCTCCGGGGATGCTAATTAGCCTGGATCCGATGCTTCGGCAGAGAGCGCCGGCTTAACCGGCGAGGAATGGACGTCCTGGAATAATGGAGTCTTCTCTGGGGAAAGGCTACACAGTGGTGAGTGGACCCGATGCATCATCGGTGCAGAGAGTGTCAGCTTATCTGGCAAGGTATTCCACCGGAGATACTCATCACTGAGAGGGAATTGGGAGAGCCTCTCTACCGACTGGAGATGACTTGTCACTAAAAGCGGTAGCTCTGCTTCCATTGCAGCAGGACTGCCTTCCTGCTGGACTGGAGGCTATTTTCTCCCAGTCAGGAGCGCTGAGCCACTGGCCCAAGCAACAGAGCCACCACAGTGGAAGCTACTTTCTTTTAATAGGTTAGGAGAGCTGTCCCATGACACTTTCGAGCAGCTGCTCGCCTAGATTGGGAAAGCAGCTGTACTAGGTAGGAGAGAGGCGCCACTAGAGCTATGGTGGCGCGTCTCTTCTGTATCCAAAGGAGCATCCCCACCAATTCCCTCTCAGTGCGGGGCGCTCACTGGCTACTCTGATAAATAAATAATTGTTAATAAATTACACAAGCGCCTATCACTTAGTGACTTGGGGCGCTCACTGGCCACTCTGTTAAATAAATAATTTTTAATAACACAAGTTCCTATCACCCTATAACCCAGGACGTTTACTGGCAACTCTGTTAAATAAATAGTTAATAATAACACAAGCACCTATCACCCAATAACCCCGGTCGCTCACTGGCAACTCTGTTAACTAAATAATTATCAATAACACAAGCGCCTATCACCTCATGACCCGAGGTACTCACTGGCTACTATTGAATAATAAATTATTAAGTTATTACAGCAGTGCCAATTAGAAAGATCTTTGTCGTACTAGATTAGCAATTAAAATTGTGATATGTTTACATATGTTATCGATCAACTTTTTATTACCTAATAGTGTTGCAAATATGTGTCGCGGATCATGAGAAAAAAGG